TCCATCTCCCTGCCTTCCCAGGGCAGCAGCGAAGCGCGGGGACAGCGAGCCTGAGCAGCGGGAGGGCACCAGGCGCAGACCCCGTGGCCGTGCTCACCAAGCTGCCCGCGTCCTCCCGCTGCCCCCCGAGCCGGGCACCCTGCTCGCCCGCTCTCCCTGACCCCTCTCCCCTTCGTCTCCCAGGTCCTGGCCCCGTGGGTGAAGCATTTCATCGTCACTCATGACATCGACTCTGGTATCTACAACTCGCCGTACGTCATACCGGGGTAGGTGACCGCGGGCCAGGCAGGGTCTGGCTGCCCTTAGCCGTGCTCTGCTGTCAGAGACCGGTACGGGCGCAGGAGCTCCCTGCGCAGACCCCGGCTCGGCGCTGGGACGCGAGGGGGGTCCGGGCTGCTCCGGGGCTCCCGGATCAGTCAGTGGCATGGGGCTTCCACGTCTCCCGCCCTGTCCTCTTCCAAGGAATAAACTCCACTGAAGCAAAGCGTCCTCAAAAGAGCCAAACACTGACCGTTGGGCAAATATCTGGGGAGAGATCTTTTGTTTTCACATTTATACGCAGTGCTTTTGTTAGCAATGTTGACAAAACTGCTGTACAGCAGCTCATCAGGGGGAAAGGCTCTTCTGTTCTGATCCATGCTCCCATTAAAACCAGTGGCAGGAATCCTTTTTACTTTAACAAAAGCCCACCCTAAGAAGCTCAGCCTTCCCCGCACGTTTACCCTGAGCCCCGGCACGGGTGCATCTCTCACGGCTGTTGGTGAGAAATCTCTCGAGGGCATCCCACACCGGGCTCCCTGCCAGCTCCCTGCAGGAACCGAGGAGGGATCCCAGGGGAAAACCCTGTTCCTGTGTCCCCGAAGGGGTGAGAAGGGCCAAAACCAGCTCCTGGCCGCGAAAGCACCATCTCTAGAGTGGCAGTGGCTGTGCCCGGGCAGAGCCCGGCTCGCAGCACTTGTCTTGCTCCTTCCACCTGCGTCCCACCAGCAGCTTGCTTAGGGGAGGTGGGATCTGTCTGAGAAGGGAGGGGACACGTGGACCC